GTCGGGGTGAACAGCTATTGCTCTGCACCCAGAACAGTTGCTGAGCAGCGAACTGAAGTTGCTGCACTTCTAGGTGGTGTTCAGACGCAAAACGAAGCAACAGAGCTCCGAAATAGAATTGTTTCTTGCAATGCAATCTTTGAGTCTTTCGGCAACGCTGCCACAAGAAGAAACCACAACAGTAGCCGAGTTGGGCGACTCACGCTTTTGCATTTTGACAATGGAGGCCTCTTACGAGGTGGTAGTTTGAAGACGTACTTGTTGGAGGCTGCGCGGATTACGGCGCACAAAAAGGGCGACCGAAACTTCCACGTCTTCTATCAGCTATTGAGAGGTGCAAAACCCACGTTATGCTACTGTGGCCTTACCACTGGCAAGCGTCCAGACGAGATCGGCATAGTATTTGCGGCACGCAATGGCTTGGTGGTAGTGGGCTATTTCAGCGTAGTTATGTACAATGGAAAATTATCGGCGGCAAGGGCTTATTCTGGGTTGAGGATGCAATGCATTACGGCTTGCTTCTCATTCAGGTGTGAGCGACGAGCAGCGCGCCTTAATGGGTTTAATAGATGATGAATGCGCCTACCGCATGCTGCGGCCACAGGACTTCAGGAAGCTGTTGCAAGATGTGCATCCTAGGGCCAAACAGACGGCAAGCCAGGAACTGGCAATGAAGGGTGAGAATGCAGTACCAAAGACGGTTGACCAGGTGAGGCAGAAGCCTTTACTCGTCTCACAGGGTGTTATAAAAGTTCAAGTCTAGTACTTGCGCATTTTTCTTCTTAGCTCCAGAAAAGCATCAGATCGAGAGCTTTCTTTTCTCTGGAGCATCTCGCCGGTCTCTCGTGCGTGCGTTGTGATTTTTGCTTGGCTGAACTGCATTGACAGCAAAACTTCGAATCGCTGATGAAGGCTTTGAAACAGGCAGAATTCACTCCTGCAGAGGCCGAAGAGTTACTACATCTGCTAGCGGGACTGCTTCACCTCTCCAATGCTACTTTCATCAAAGGCACTGATGAAAAACTACAGTTGCAGGACTCAGCATCAGCAGATGCGCTCAAGCGTGCAGCGTCGTTGCTTGGGTTTAAAGTGGAAGAGCTTGAAGAAGTTCTGCGGTTCCGCCATATAGCTTTGAAAAGCGACATTCTTGTAAAGCCACGAAATGAGCAGCAAAGTGCCAGTGTGTGCTGCTCTCTCATCAAGTTCATCTACAGTCGCCTTTTTGACTACGTCGTGCACCGCTTGAATGAAAGTGCTGCGCGACACGTGCGGGGAAAGCAACACCAAAACAAGCAGAATGATGCAAATGCCCTGAAATCCATTGGCAGTAAGCAATTTTTGCTGTGCTCTAGGCATGGTAAACGTCTTCTGCAATCCGTATTTTATTTGATAGGGATATGCTAGAAAACACCTATGCACGTAGAAGCCTATCCATGTATATATTTCCGATTAGACAAGAAGTAGTAAGACGAGGTTTGCGTTGCTAGCTGCACTCAATCAACTTTCCACATGCACGGCTTGCCGTTCGATTGGCTTACGTACATTGTTGCAGACGCTGTCGTCAAAACCTTCATTCAGCTGTTTCTGTGTGCTTCTGTTTGTTTTCGTGAATGGTCCGATATAGTCCTTGACATCTACGGCTTCGAGTCGTTTGGTTTGGAAAACGGGTTGGAACAGCTTTGCATCAACTACGCAAACGAGAAACAGCAACAGCTGTTCGTCCAGCAAGTCATCGAGGAAGAAGTTGCCCTGTATATCCGAGAAGGAATTGCAAACCCTGCAGTGGCAGCTGGACAAAATCTCAAGTCCCCTCTGCAAAGTGCACAACCAGATTCAAAACTTCAAGAACGCAGTCATCGAAGCGATCCGAATATCTCCTTCAAGGCGAATCTCCAGCGCAGCCTCCTTTCAAGCCTGCCTGACACCTCTGCGCTGCTTCGAGAATTGCAAGAAGGAGTATTTAGACGCTTAGATGACTCATGCCGGCTCTTGGCCCAGGGCCAGGCAAGAGACGACATTCACTTCTGGAAGGACTTGTTCGCCTACTGTGCCTCATTGAAAGAGCACTCGCAGCATCTTGCAGACAAGCACAACTCCCAAAAAGCAGACCAGGAAATTCTGACTCCGCGTGACCACCGCATTCTATTCTGTCTGAAAGGAACCAATGGAATGCAAGCTGCAGAAGCTGCTGCCAGCGGGAGGCTTCTGCAACACTTGGAGCAAGCCGACCTTAATCTTATTGGCCTTGTGGGAGCTCAACAGCTGGCAGCTGTGGGTGCCGGAGGAAAGCTGGCGGGAACCCTCTCAACGGCTGGTAAAGTGCAGGAGAGAGTTTTCGCCGTCAAGCACTTTGCAGGAACAGTTCTCTACGGCACAGATGGCTGGCTGGATCTAAACAACGACCGAGTAAGGCGTTTTAGGCTGACGGTTTGCCCACGACATCTTTCTTGTTGTGCCTTGTCAACAGTAATGCTGCAATTTTGATTCGATTTGTGTCCACTCAGATCGAGCACGAACTGGAGCGTCTTGTCGCCAAGTCCGAAAAGTCGCTTCTACGGCACGCTATGGAACAGCACGAAGCGAGCCAGAGGCAGGAAGGAAACTTTGTAGGCACTGCAGGGGGTGGTCAATTCTCCTCCATAACGAAGCGTTTTTTGAAGAGTGTGAAGGATCTGAACCAGGAGCTGCAGGGGCCCCACATGCAGCTTCACTTCATACGATGTTTCATCCCGAATTGCGAGATGAAGCCTGACGCTTTTGAAAGGAAGATTGTACTGCAGCAAGTATGCGAGTTGTTGGTTTAGGTGATGGCAGTGAAAGCCTAACAGCAATTTCATCAACGTAGATAGGCAAAAGATGTTGAAGATGTTGCCTCTGCTGCTGCCACGAAACGAATTCTTCGAAGAATTCTCTCCATGTGCTCTTGCGACTGCCATCATTGACATCTCAGTGCAATCTGCTTGCATCGCAGCTGCAACATTCCGGATCTTTGGCTCTCTTGGGCATTCTGCAATCTGGCTTTCCCCACAGAATGCCGTTACACGCCCTCGCCTGCAGACTACGCAAAACTCTACGCCCTTTGTTGGAGAGACTTTTGCACGAGCAAGAAAACAAGGTGAAAGCGCTCCTCCCGCAGAGGATGGCCGCGCTGGGTAGTGATTCAGCTTGCATACCTCTGGATAATGAACAAAAGAAGCAGTGCCGGGTACTCGAAACTTTGAGACACTGGAACCCAGCAACTGTCAGGGACCGCTTGCTAGGTAAGCAGAGAGGAACGTTATGCAACTCAACTAAAGCACCGTTTCATCAACGTAGATAGGCAAAAGATGTTGAAGATGTTGCCTCTGCTGCTGCCACGAAACGAATTCTTCGAAGAATTCTCTCCATGTGCTCTTGCGACTGCCATCATTGACATCTCAGTGCAATCTGCTTGCATCGCAGCTGCAACATTCCGGATCTTTGGCTCTCTTGGGCATTCTGCAATCTGGCTTTCCCCACAGAATGCCGTTACACGCCCTCGCCTGCAGACTACGCAAAACTCTACGCCCTTTGTTGGAGAGACTTTTGCACGAGCAAGAAAACAAGGTGAAAGCGCTCCTCCCGCAGAGGATGGCCGCGCTGGGTAGTGATTCAGCTTGCATACCTCTGGATAATGAACAAAAGAAGCAGTGCCGGGTACTCGAAACTTTGAGACACTGGAACCCAGCAACTGTCAGGGACCGCTTGCTAGGTAAGCAGAGAGGAACGTTATGCAACTCAACTAAAGCACCGCTATACTTTTGGAAGGCTTTTGAAAGGCTTCACGACAACTGCAAACCAGGCAGCTGCTACTTACTTTCTAGTGTAGCATCTATGAGCTTCGGCCTTTCTGCTTTTACTCCTGCAGCCTCTGCAACTCTTGGATTGCTTCCTCAGTGCCGGCCAGGCACATTCATTTGTGGCGTTTCCCTCGTCTGCTTCAAGGCCTCTGCCTACGGAGAGGCTGCAGCGCTAATGACTGACCCAGCAAAATTCTTCGAAACCCCAGGAGACTTATGCCGGTTAATCACGGCTATCCAACGTTTGCGGTTGCGTGTGGCTGTTCGTATCATTGTCCATGTGCATCCCAAGTTACTATGGCTCCAGCGCAGGGCCTTCTTGATGAGGAAGATCAAGCAAGAGGCTGCCACTGCAGCCTTACGTGTGATGCTCCTCAAGAAGCATATCCTTATCCCCTTGCAGAAGCGTGCGAAGCGACGGCTCTCCATTCGCCGTGGTCTAGGCTCGTTGGAGCGTTTCATGTCGCACCATTCTGCTCGAATTTGGCAAACGTTCAAGGCAGCGGTGGCCAAACCCGAAGAATTGACAAGAGTGCCTTCAGCTCTACGTGCACAGCAGTCAAAACAGAATAGCACGTCTGGAGAAATGTTGCATGGCTCCGAAGTCGACGTGTGCAGCGATGATGCACAGAAGGAAGCACCCACAGCCCAAAGTCAGCCACAAACGCACGCTCACCCCTGGAATACCCGCCTCATTCATTTCACGACTGGTGGGCTGCAAGGGTCCGCGCAGCGCCACTGCGTGGCAGCTCACGTAGGCAGCAATCTGTACTGCATGGACGCCTCGGAATTATTCTCAGAAGAGGAATTCCAGCCTTTCATCGGCGTCTCAGAGGAGAAACAGCCAAACAAGTCCTTACAGTCCTTGCCACAAGAGCCTTTGGCTGAAAGGCACCATGCAAAACGGTACCAAAAATTCGACGCACAGCTTCATACTAACCACGCAGAACGTGGCGACCACCACTCGTGTACAACTGTTATGGTCAGTCAGTCAAGCCTGGTTTGCATTGCCAAGCACCCGTGCCACACTGGTCTACTCCTTGCAGCCGATTCGGCCGCAAACCTCGTGCAGCTTGCAGCATCAGGATGCAGATGTGAGTCTCTAACCATGACAAATGCCCTGCTAAGAGATTCAGCACCTACCACGTCCACTGCCTCTGGCGAACCCTCAACATCATTGCCTGCCCTTGACTCTCGAGCTCGTCTTCTAGCTAAAGCCGCCTCGAGATGCAGTGCCTCCGACAAAAAGCACACTTCCAAGTGCTCAGCCATGCCTTGCTGCAATGTTCCTGCGTACAACGGTAACCAGGATTTCCCACTGGTTGCCAGGCTCGAAGGGCACATGCTGGAGGCCGAATCTCCGCTGCTCTCACACACGACACACAAGACACTCCCCCCTGAAACGTGGCTGCCCAGGGACCTGTTCGATGAAATAATCCACACCCCTCAGGATCAGCTGTCTCATACAAGACACCCACGACCCCCAACTGTGCGGCCGCTCAGCGTTTCCTTTGCAAGCCCTATAACCGCAGATTATGCCATCATCGTGTGTCTTGTGCAAGGCAAAAGCAGCAAGAACAACAACAATAACAGCAGCAGCAGCGGCATAGGCAGCCTCACTCTCGTTCTAGTCGACTTGCTGAGGAGGGAACCTGCTGGCTGGATTCCTCTGTCTTTTGCGTCCCATGATCTATCAATCTGTGCTCGCCGCAACTCTGCGTACCTTCAACAGCTGTCCCAAACAGCTTTCCCAGGGTCTAACACTAATGCTGGAAAAATCAAAAACGCAGCCGCTGAGCTTCGTGCTGCACGAAATCCTTTGCTTACGGCACGCACCCGTAGCACCATGCTCTCCACAATTCGTTTGCAACCTCTTTGGGGCAACGTGTGGGCAGTCACAGGCCCCTCCTTGCTCGCCATCTTCTCTATCAACCTTAGGTATCTGCAGCATCCACCAGAGGAGCTTGAAGCGCAGTCAGGAATCAGAGATCCACCGCTTCGTCTTCTGTGGAACTTGGCGTCTGTTCCGGTGAGGAGTCGCTTGGAAAGCTCTTCACTGCAGCATCTGTACAGCTGCTTCTTTGCAACACCTGCTTGCTGCCTACAATCTGTGACTGTAAGCTTTGTGTTGTACTATGTGTGCTGCAGCGCGTAAGTGGAATGAGCCTTGAAGTGGCTGAAGAATGGTTTACTGGATGCACATACACGCGTTTAGCCCCAGCAGCACTCAGTTCGGTCAGTGGTACCGACCCGATCATACAGGCTCTACAATTAATGCCCTTTGGAGAAGTAACGCGGGCTCTCGAAGCAAAGATGCAGCGGCTGTTGCTCCTTTCTACTGCGGATGACTCTCTGGTTTTGCTACAGTGGAGTGAGGGCAGCTGCGGCTTCGCCAGTGGATCGGGAAACCTTGTACTGTTAGATCAGATCCGTTTGCCATTTCCTGTGTTACAATTTATGAGGCAGCGGCCGGGCAGGGGTACAACTTGGCCTTGTTCTGAGCCGTCTCCTGGGGAAAACGAAGGCCGACTGTTGAGGTCTTTTCCTTGGGAAGCGAGCTCGCTTCTGGGAACCGTCTCAGAAAATGGTACAGCAGGTGATCATCCTGAGAGGATTGCTGAAAACGTGGACAGTGACAGCAGCACCACCGGAGGCACCACCGACACCTGCGATTCTGAGCAAGGTTACACCAAATCTCACGGTTGTTCAAATATTCGGTTTAGACTTGGGGGAATGAGGTCTCTGAGACGGGACTTCAGATCCTACGAAATAGCTCTGGTTGACAAACGCAGCGGAAGGATTCTGCGTGATTTGGACCAGGACAATTTGAGGTCTTCACATGATGGCGCAGAATCTGGATCTGAATTTCTAGCTGTGGCGCCTTTGCCATCTCTCCCCGGAGTCTTGGTTTCTGTTGTAAGCAATCATGTCGTCAGGCATAGCAACTGAGTTGTCTTCTATCACCAAGGCAAAATTTCATTTCTGTGCTTGCTGTGATGTATATGCTGCAGAGAATGTGTTCTTCGGGCGTTCTCAACTTATGTCTGGGGGACGAAGAAGGGAATTGGCGTGCGATTGGAGGCCTCACCATGTGAATAACTAGCCTTTTGTCAACACGTTTTCCCTTGTACTTTTTTAAGTTTTATGCTGGGCCCCTTGCAGAGGTGTGTCCTGCTTGGAATTCTTATTGTGGCTTTACCATATTCTTTTCTTTTTGCCTATCTGTTTTTTGGCGTTTTTTTGGTGTTCACTGCGCTGTTGGTGAGAGCCAATCTGGCCAACTCTGTGAAGACTGAATCAACCAAATTTTTCCCGCAGCAAAGTGCTTTATCAATGACCTGTTACTACTGTGTTTGCTTGTTGTTTGTTATTGTTTGATGTAAGGGTGAAAAATTCACAAGCGGTGGCTTCACGTAGTGTATTCAGCTCTAGACTCCAGAAGGCGCAGGTTGGACCCTCAGCGAGACGTTGCTTCTTTCCAACGACAGCAAACGGCAACAGGTCATCTGTTGGCATACATCGATGGGAAGTTCGGTAATCGCTTGAGCGATATATACCTGTCGCTCATGCACCAAAATTCAATGCAGCGAGTGGCGCTTCTGTATTTATAGTGCCTCCCCTTCAGATAATGCTATGATTCTTCAACAGGCCATGCGGTTTCGTCTAAGTGAAACAGAGCCGCCTATTATCGTCAACAAATAAGAATTGTGCCCCTAGCGCAACATGGGCCGGAACGACTACTATTTACCCGTGCTTTCATAGTATCGCTGCTTTGAGATAATGGCGGACTGTGCTTGCGCAGTGGAAGTAACTGCGAAACCTTCGGTACACTTCACTCTTTTCGGTGGTTTAGCCATTATGATCAGGTCTACTCTGGCGAGGTTTGCTGTAGACACTCAAACAAGCAAGTGCTGTGAGCCTTTGCTTCGAGCCAAGCACTGGCTCGAGGCAGACACGCACAGCACTTGCTCGGTTGGCCGTTAATCCTTTGCTCCTAAATTTTTATAGTCAAAATATCCAGGTCTTTAGAAATAATTGCTCCCAAATCTAGGTCTCCGCTATTTTTCTGTCCTTTTGCTAGCTCTCTGTTCAAAGCACGGAAACTCCATCCGCGATGAAGCCACCTGCATAAACCCCTGAACCTGTGTGTTTAATGGACGCAATCGGAAAAATTTATGTGTCGAAATTACGTCTCAAAAATACATGCCATTTCCTTGCGGCTAAACAAGAGCGTTACTGCTTCCGCTTTTGTATGATTACGCGAAGCCTTCCTTGGGCCCGAGACGAACAGTCCTCCCAGCCACTACGTTAACGCAGCAGAACCAGACCTTTTCGAAGTTAAAAATCATAATAATATATTTTTGTCTTACTAGTTGGGAAATATGGCTTCTACACGGCTGCAGTTATTACAGAGTTGTGATGTGGAAGGTCTGGGCACCCATTAGACAATGGGCCATTTCGGCCGACTGCCAGGTCACCGGAGAAATTTCGTTGACCTGAGCAGCTCTCGTTGACGACAACTATTGGCCCATCAAATTAATATATCCTTTTTTTTAAATAGGGGCTGCATTGGATTGCTTGTCACAGTTTCAAGGTGTGAAGTACATCGTCGAGCCTGCGACTGAACCACTGGCACCGAGCTGTTTGTTTGGAGCCCCACTCTACGCGGATGAAAGCAGCCACTCTAAGGAAAACACATAGTCTTGCCTTTTTACTTTGGAACAATATTGGCCGCCATCATTCTCTCTGCGCTGTGCCTATTCCCAGCACAGCTGAGCATGCGAGTGCACAAGGAAGAAGCCGTGTCGATTTAGAAAGAATCGCTCCCCCTTTCGCAATTGGAAACGTCATCTGAGCCTCACATCCATAAAATATTTTTTGCCCTTTATTCAACCGTCGGGGTGTGGCTCCTCATGAGATTAACTAAGCTTCTTGCAGATGGAGCCTTCCCACACAGATGGCGGGCAGGCGAGCACATCCCCCACCATTCCCGCAGGTTCCTTAGCTTGGGTTGAAGATAGCGAATATGGTTTTCTGACAGTGAAAGTGTCACGCGTGGACTTTTCTACCAGGCGTGCCTACGTGGAGACGCACCCAGAGGGAGCCAGCGGTGTGGCTGCAGCGCAAGCAGCTGCAGCAGTGGTGAGGGAAGCCACTGCAGCCCTACTTGCTACTGACCCGTCTGTGTCTCTTCAATCTTCGACACAGTGCGACACACAAGGGCAGGACGGCGCACGGACGCCACCAATTGCCCTGCAGGATCTGCAGTCAAGCAACCACACCGAGCAATGGAAAGAGCACCGACCAGCACCAGAAAGTACTGATCTGAGGCAGGATAATCCTGCTCAGTGTTGTGGAAGTTACGAAGGACCTGTGCCGCAGCCGTGTGAGGGGCTTGAAACCACTGTGCTATGCACACTCCCTGAAAAGAACATCTGCGAGTCTTTTGGGAACTCGGGTACTATTTTCCTAGGAAACGTAGAGCACAACGCATCAAACGCAGCTGAAGCTGCAGCCAAGGAAACTATTGTGAATTTCGCTCCAAAGCCGCCCTTCGAAGTCCCTCTCACTCACCTTTGGCCCTACAATGCACCCCCCTTGCCGCCTCACCCAGTGCCAGATGATAGCGCCAGCTGCGGAACATTGTCAGCCGCAGCATTGCTTCAGCTTCTTCAACACAGATATATCCGAGATGAGATTTACACCTACGCAGCAAATGTGCTGCTGGCCGTCAACCCCTACAAGCCACTGCCTCACTTGTACACTGCACAGCAAATCCTTCTCTACCGGAATTGGAGAGAGGTTGCCCGAACGTATCGTCGCAACTTTCCAGAAGAGCAGTGGCACAGCAGCAGGGAGGGAGGCCTTCTCGCCAACTCCAGCAGTGCCATTGGCTCCATTCTCGACAGTCTACCTGGAGTTCTACCCATACGCCGACCCTCTCTCATCGAATGTTTTGATGGTGTTTTGGGCTCCTCTAGTGATCCTGCAGACAGGACAAATGTTAATCCGTGGACAATAAACTCAACCACGTCTGCAGAACGTAGTACACAGGCGTATGGGACGCAGGCCAAAGCACTCGCTGCAGAACAGGCTTTCAAGCGCAGCACTGCAAGCCGAAACAGGCCGCCACCGCATCCGTTCGTTGTTGCAGAAGACGCTCTGCGTCGTCTTGTGGGGACACAAACTAGTCAAACTATTGTGGTTTCGGGGCAAAGTGGAGCCGGAAAGACCGAAACAAGCAAGCAGCTTATGCTTTTTCTCACGCACGTCTCCACCTCCTCGCAGGATGACAAAGCAGTCGGGGTGAACAGCTATTGCTCTGCACCCAGAACAGTTGCTGAGCAGCGAACTGAAGTTGCTGCACTTCTAGGTGGTGTTCAGACGCAAAACGAAGCAACAGAGCTCCGAAATAGAATTGTTTCTTGCAATGCAATCTTTGAGTCTTTCGGCAACGCTGCCACAAGAAGAAACCACAACAGTAGCCGAGTTGGGCGACTCACGCTTTTGCATTTTGACAATGGAGGCCTCTTACGAGGTGGTAGTTTGAAGACGTACTTGTTGGAGGCTGCGCGGATTACGGCGCACAAAAAGGGCGACCGAAACTTTCACGTCTTCTACCAGCTACTGAGAGGTATGCCAACTACTCAACAATCGATTTATGTCATTGTCAACAAACCTGGAGCAGTATGATTCCCCTGAAACAGTACGCAAGAGAAACACATCAGCATGCTCAGTTTAGTGGTGAACTCTCCAATGCGTCAGCTTAGCAAGAATGAAACTTATTCTAATCTCCTGTGTCTTCCTGTGACGTGAACCAGGAGTGAGCGACGAAGAACGTAACTTTATGGGATTGACAAAGAACACAAATGATTACCGCATATTGAGGCCTGGAAATTCAGACAAGTTTCTCCAGAAACTCTTCTCCAGAGAAGTTCAACCCGACACAGTTCAGCAAAGCGACGGAAATGCCGATCAAGAAAACGCTCATTTTCCTCTAGAAGTGGACCAGGTATGATGACATCGCACTTTCTAGGCTGCCGACGTGCTTCTAAGTGATGCTTGGAAGTGCGACAGGAAGGCACTTCGCTGGCCAGCATAGCCGCTTCTTATATTTGGCAAAACTTGCCCTCCGCGCTATAATTGTGGCCTATGATGCTGATAAGTATGTGCGCGCAGAAAAATTTTAAATTATTGGTGGAAGCTTTCAGACGTGCAGAATTTTCGGTTTCTGAAATCAACGAGTTGCTGCAATTGCTGGCTGGGCTCCTCCACCTGTCCAATGCTACTTTTGTTAAGCGCAAAGGCGATTTCTTGGAGTTGCAGGACCCGGACTCAGAAGAGGCGATCAAAAAGGCAGGGTCACTGCTTGGAATAGAGCCAAATCAGCTCGAGGAATCTCTGAGGTGCCGTCACATGCTTTTGAAAGAAGATGTCCTGTGTACGTGTAGGAACGAACAGCAAAGCATAAGCGTTCGTTGCTCTCTTATCAAGTTCATTTACAGCAGACTATTTGGCCACATTGTGCAGCGGCTTAATGATAGCGCTGCACGATACATGGGGGAAAGTGAAAGGCACCCGAAAAAGGGGTACGAGCACCGCAAGACAATTGGCAGTGAGTAGTCCGGGTGACACTTGGCACTCTAGCAGCCGCAAATCATAATGCATACAGAGAATGTCTTAAAGTTGGTGAATTCAACGACGGCTCAGTAGACTCTCAGCAGCGGCCCTGTACTCACCTCTAGTCAGACCTTCTGCCGCATCTCTGCATGTTTCGTGCAGTGGAAAAAGTTTGAAGATTCCTGTTTTGCCAGACTCATGTCCTGCCTTTCAGTCCTTGACATCTACGGCTTCGAGTCGTTTGGTTTGGAAAACGGGTTGGAACAGCTTTGCATCAACTACGCAAACGAGAAACAGCAACAGCTGTTCGTCCAGCAAGTCATCGAGGAAGAAGTTGCCCTGTACATCCGAGAAGGAATTGCAAACCCTGCAGCGGCAGCTGGACAAAATCTCAAGTCCCCTCTGCAAAGTGCACAACCAGATTCAAAACTTCAAGAACGCAGTCATCGAAGCGATCCGAATATCTCCTTCAAGGCGAATCTCCAGCGCAGCCTCCTTTCAAGCCTGCCTGACACCTCTGCGCTGCTTCGAGAATTGCAAGAAGGAGTATTTACT